CTTTGAAAAAATAATGTGTGTCTGTGCATGCACACAAAGCATTTCATACTAGCTGGATATTGCAGATGTTTTTAAAAATGCATTTTCCTTAAGATCCTGAAATCCTACGCTATTCCTACTGTTAAAAGAATGCAGAGGAAAGCACATGCTTTATTGTGCCCCGTGCTAGCACGGCTGACTGAAAGGATTGGGATGGATAGACACGTAGCAACCAATGTAAGGTAGCTTTGTGCACTGAGTGTTGCTCTCTGGAGGCATCCAACCCTGACCTTCAGCTGTAAAAGCATGCTAGGCTCTTACCTTCAGGCATCTGTGTTGCAATTAAACTAGATGCTGGAAGGGCAAGGGAGATTGGATAGTGATCCAAATTTCCCCCACCACCAGCAATTACAAATTGCCTATTGGGGACTTTGAGGTGCTTCATGGTACTTTGATGGTACTTTGTCAGCCATAATTTATGCTTTGCTTCATCTATAGTTCTGGAAAACAACTTTTCTCTGTTTGCCCTGGGGTTTTTTGTTCTACTATTCAGAAACCCAGTGACAACAGATTTAGTTTCTCTAACTGCAAATTTCAGGTGCAAATTACTTGTAACTAAATGTCCAGAAAAAGCTTTTATATTGTTTCTCTGTCATCTTTTTCTGGGGGAAAAAAAAAATAGCTTGAGGCAGTTTCTAGAGGTGTTGGGCTTTTGCATATCCTTACAAAATATATGAGATTCTTCAAAGTAAACAAGAAAGTCAGAGATACGTTAAGTTTTTTGAATTCCAGAAAGGAAAAGGAAGATTGTAATGTCCTCATTGAAATACAATGCACTTTATCTTGGGGAGGGGGGAAAGAATCTTACTGGCACTGTCATTATATGCTGAGCAAGATGAAAATACATCCTTAAGTGGAGATGTAGACTTGAAACTCTGTTCAGCAGCCTTGTGTGCAAGCTGTGACCCTGGTGTTTCAGAGAATCTCAACAAATGCCCAACCTCACTTGTATAAAATGAGATAATGGAAACCATGGCTCTTAAAACCACAAGGGAAGTTTTCCAAAAACAGAGAAAGGACTAAACTGCGGTGGGCAAAATTATAGCACTTTATAAGAAAGTACAAGTGGTTCTGTTCCTGCTATGTGAGGGTAACAGCATGAGTGCTCCCAGATCATTCACTGGGTATAGAAGGTGTTTTCAGGATCTGGATTATTCCCACAAACACTAAGGCTTACCAAATTATTGAGAATAATATCACAGTAAAGCCTTTGCAGTCAGGGAGGGCTGTAAGCTGGGAATTTGGCACACAAGGAAACTGTTGCAGAATGTATTTATCCAGGGGATACTTTTGAAACTGTTAGTAAAATCTGAAAACAGAACGGATTTAAAGCTCCTCCTCAAGGAGAGGCTACAAATTGGGACATGAAATGTAAAATGTTACAGTTTGTTCCTCTCTACACAATACAACATCCTGCCAGCAACAAAGAAGTTCCTCTTCTGCAAACTTTGTTGCATACTACTTGTTGTGGGAGGTGGAAGGAGGTTCGGAAGTTCAGTAAATACCTACGGTCAAATCAGTGATGAGTCCTTACACTCCCATCCTGGAAGACCTTAAATTTCCCCAGGATATTGGATGCATTCAAAAAGGGGCTGCAAGTACCATGGACTTCATCAAAACCGTGTCAGATACTCTGAAAGGAATAGGCACATAAATAAAAGAGAGTGAATTCACTTGTTTCAATCAATTATCTGATGGAACACATCCACCAGAACAGTGGGAATCCCATAATTTCCCTCCTTCTGAGGAACTGGAAATTTCTCAGGAAAAGGCCTACAGAACAGGATACTCCCAAATACCCTGACTTTACAGAGCATATGCCTAAATTCATCTCCTCCCAGAGATACATGTAACATACAGTATCCAATCAAAATCTGATCAGAGGCTTTCAAGGTTCTTTTGAAGCCTGAGAACGTCACAATGTCAATTACAAGATGTGCTACAAATGTATGGGTTGGATTTCAACCCCGTGCAACTGGTGACTCAGCTTTGCCTGTTTCAGGCCAGCTATCAAATTTTTTCTTCAGCCAAACCAAATGCTGACTGTTTTGTGAAAAGGTGAAGCTGACATTAATGTTTTCCATGACACTAGTGGCCAGCCCTTAAAATGGAAGGAATAGAGATGCCTAGTATCAGTCACAACTCAGGAGCTTGCAGCTTATGCAATGAAAAGTCTGATTTAGAGCTCACTGGAGTTTTAGGTAAATTCACTTAAAGAAAACAACAGCCCCTGAACTTTGTCCAACTTGGACTCTGTTCCTCTTTTTCTGTTTTTAAAAGAAGTAATTATTAGCTTCGTACCATTCCTACTTTGTCCACTTTTAAGATGGTGAGGAAAAGAAACTTTGTCCTAAATTTTAAAACTTACTATCTGTAGTTTTCTTCACTTTTTGGTAAGGTCAGTGCTCATTAAGCACTGCACTGGTTTGCCTGGAGGTTTTGGAGCTGGTTGGATGCTTCATTCCCAACAGAGTGAACAACTTCCTTTACATCTACATTCATCAGCTGGATAAAGGTTTGCCCTCAAATCTGAAAATAGTGGAAGGATGTGTTTAAGTATCTAAGAAGAAGTTTTAAAATAACTGGCTCCAGAAGCATTTTCCCATAGCAACATGCTTTTAAAAATAATTGAGGGAGGTTAACAGAGAATTCCTACATAATTACACAAATACATCTTCATCTTTTACCAGGGGGTTCTTAATCACAAAAGCATGTAGCAGGGGAGAAGCTGAATGGAGCACCAGTTAATCATCTGCTCTAGGTGGGCTTATGGAACTAAGCAGGAGCCAGAGAGGTGCCTGGTCAGGATAACAGTCTGACACCGAATTAGGAGATCATGAGTAGGTCAACACTACCAGCCTATCTCCCTCCTGCCTAAAGCCCAGGAATAGTGTTACAGCTAATTACCATACAGAGCCTTTTGTCAAAAACCAAATTACCAGGAACACTTGATCCTTGTGGAAAAGAACTGGAGATAGGAAATGTCCTGCTTAAGATAGCTGGCAGGACAGCTGAAAGAAGGTTTTGCCAAGGTAGGTTTGGGCTCACTGCCTATCTCATTCCAAACCACCATTAAACTGGTGAAAGCCTTTGATGTTCTTCCATGGTGCCGTCACAAGTAGGAACAATTTGCAACATTTGCAATCACTAGTGCAGACTTTTTACTTTGTAAGTAAAACTCTTAAAACTCATTGCCCAGCTGAGGTCTTCCCTAGGAAAATGGTTGGACCCCTGGCATGGCTGAAAAGAATGTTTGCTTGACACCATGTACAGGTTTGCCAGCAAGACTCAGCCTCCTCCTTGCCAATTGTGGCCATCAGGATTTCCTGTTCTGCTGGTTGACCATCCATTGACCACCTGAGTGGGCAGTGGGAGGCAGGGAAAGGCCACAGCAAAAGCTGCTCATGAATAATCCTTTGTTATCTCTTAATTACAAACAGAAATCTTGTATGGATGAAAGTCTAATTACTTTTTCCAACATCATACTGTACCAGGTCTGCTTCTTCATGCAATTGTTTACAATCTGCTGTTTTCTTTGGGGTTTTTTAAGCCTGGGGAGGTTTTGTTGCTGTTTGTTCCTTTTTTAAGCCAAACCTCTCCAACTCCAGCTGACTCATCCCTTGTAGCATTTCTTCTTGATCGAGGTGTAACATCTCATTCTCTGCTTGCTGCTGGCAGCTTTTCCATCCTAGCAAAAACTTTTCTAACTAGATGTCTGCAGCTGCAAAAGAACTTGAGTTTCCACGCTGTCTTGTGTATTTTCAGCCTTCTCAGACTCAGCAACCTCACTGGACAGCAAAAGGAAAAAGCTGGGACAAGTCTGCAGTGGGTTATTTGTTGAAGTATACATGGTATGACTAATGCGCCTTACCTTTCCTCAGCGAGCTGGGTGTGTGCTGAGCAAACATCCTGGCAAGCTGCACGTGACAGCCAGACCCTACTGGTCCAGAACAAAACTAGCTGGAATTTCACCCTTCAGCTCAAATGCACCAGGTCCTGGGATTCTAGTAGTGTAAAATAGAGAGCTCATTGGATGAATAATGGGGCCTACCTCTCTCATTCTCTCGCTTTCTCCCTTTTTCTCTCTCTTTGTTTTATTGTTATTTATTTATTTATTTATTTATTTGTTTCAGGAGTCCAGAGACTCCTTGATTTCAAGCTGCATAAATTCAAGTAAAAAAACCCCTCCATTATGATAGAAATGCTTGGCATTTCCAGGGTAGTGGTTAACAGCTCAAGACAACCATTGCCAGCATGCTGGAAAGTGGGTTTTGACCTTTATGAGGTAAGATAGAAATCAGTGGTCATGCCTGAAGAGACAAAGTCTGCCAGAGTGACCACACTGCAGAGCTGTATTTGCACAAGCTGCCTTGGCTTCCAGATAATTACAAACTATTTAATTGTAGCAGTGCAAGCCTCTTATCTCTCAAATCTTCAAATGTTTATAGGAAATACAACCAAAATGTTAAATATTGTGCCATGATTTTTCCCCCAACTTCTTTTTTTTTCTCTTTTGTTCTTAAGATCATTATTTTGTTTAATAGGAGAATCAACATGCTCTTTCCACAGCTGGAACTAATTAATGCTCTTATTTCCCTCTTAAGCCTTTTGTGTGCTGCCATACTAGGTTTGTATGTAGACAAGAGAGAACATGCTTTTCTCCTTGACATTTTGGAAAGGATTTATCAGGAGAACAATGAGTTGAGCTGTGAGCCACAGGTGTAGGTACTCACTGTGGATGGGCAGTGGCAGAGTATCAAGGGCTGTACTTGTTCAGATCAAATGAGGAGAGGAGAAAGAAGGAGAAGGGACCTACAATGGCCAGCCAGTCTATCTGCAATCAGGTCTTGGAGGGTGCAAGCAGCAGTGAGTGCCAGATAACACAAAAAGAGATGGGTATATAAATGTCAACATCATGTGGCTACACAGTCTGCTTTAATTGAGACTTTACTCCTTCTCAGCCTCTCCATGTGTAACATCCAGCTGGGCCTGCATTGAAGGATAGAAGAAAAGACTGAAGTCCTTCTGCTGTACCTTGAAGCCAGCTCCCAGCCCATGTCTGACCCCATCATGGACTCAGGGAAAAAAACCATTTGGGTGCTAGGTGAGTCTGAGCTTGCATATACAATATAGGAGCAAGCAGGGAAGGAAAAACTCCCCATCAAGAATGCTTCTTAACCAGGTGTAAAGGGGAGAAAAAAATCAAAGGCAAATATTTGATGTGCAAATAAGGTTCTTGATTATAGGTTCGTATTTATTAGATATTCCAGTTAGGTCCTGCAAGATTGAAAAACTTGGTGATTCATACATTTTAGACTTTGAGTTCCTATCCTTATATTTGTTAGGTTACTTTCTGTAGCATATACATGTGCTTGCACAGTTAATCTGCAAGCAAGGTGTAATTTATCTGTCTGAGGACTGCACTCTGAGTCACTGAGTTCCCTCAGGGTGTCCTGGTTCCTTTCCTTCAATAATCCTTAAGGAATGTCCTAGGTGCTGTCTGGTTTTTGCTTTCCCTTTAGAAACTGAGTTACACAGTGAAAGCGACAGTAGGCATCTGCACGTAGCCGGCTGTGACTCCCATTATAGGTGAAAATGTGCCCATCTTGCTCCTGAAAAAAGTATTACTATTTCAGCCTCGGTATTTCTGTTAAGAATCTGTCAGCAGCCTTAGAGGAGGATGCAGAAAATATACACATATATTTGCACTAAGTGGTTTTTCAGCATCAGATGTTCTGCTACCATGTTATGACCAAGGGAATGTAAAATGAATGCTGCTAGAGACTTTGGTCTTTTGAAGCAGAAATCCAGCTCAAAGCCTGTTTAATTTAATTTAATTGTTCATTTAATTTCATTTATTTAATTCTACTATTTGAAGTCTGTTTAAAATAAAAAAGCCACTGGACTGACTTAATTCCTACTTGATTTCACTGCAGTCCATTGAGGCATTCAAACAAGCTGTGTCTAAAATTATGTACTCTGTAGAACTTGTGTAAGCACTGGTTAATGTTTTGCATTGTTTTAATGTATACACACAGACAAAAAGCCCTACATCTAAACACCATGAAGTATGCAAAATTAGGCACTTGAAGGACAAAAATTACTAAAATAGCTTGTGTAATTCTAATTTGGCTTCTCTGTGTGTTCACATAAAGTGTGTGTGTTATACACATACATATATATATAAAGTATATGATACTTGTGTATATACAGTGAGAAAAGCCTTTAATTATGTGACTACTTTTTTGTCTACAGAGTGTTTGCTTTATGGAGTGAACAGGATAGACCTGCTTTGCATGTGGGTCACCTTACTGGGAAGCTAGCTGTTCCCAGTACAGCACTGACTCGTTAATTGTAGAGACAGGTGATTCACAAGTGAGGTGGGAGACTGGATGAAGAGTCACTGCTCCTCCAGAAAATGAAATTCATCACTTAAAAAGTCAACTGGCTGGCTGCTGACAGGTATAGAGGTATCCTGAACTGCCCTCAAGGAAAATTATCAGGACAAGGTTATGCAAATCAAGTTGAACCTCACTGATCTACATGACTGTGGAGCAGGGGATCCATGTAGGAACTGCCTTGAAGGCAGGTTGGAAGGGGAACCAATTTCTAGCTAGGAAATGGTCAGAGCAGCTGGTGGAGGTAAATTCTTCTGGTGGCACCAGTGAGAACAGCTTGGTCAGGTTGTGAATCTCTGTCTTGCTGTACAGTCATTAAGAGTCCACATCAGTACCATTGCTTTTATTATTAGACAAATTCATAAACTTAAAAAAAGAAAAAAAAAAAGGTAGTAGAACCAAGTTTACTTTCCTTAAACTTAAACCTTAAGTCAGATTAACTGACTCCAATTATCTCACCTAGTTTTAATTCTTTATTAATCCTGTGCTATATCAGCTGCTCCATCACTTGGCCCAGGAGTGATCTCAGGCTTCTCTCTCTTCCTCAAAGGACTGTATGATGCCATTCCAGTTGCATTTGTCTAATTTTGTGAGTCCATGCCTTGAGACTCTGAAATTTGTTTTGCAAAACCACTGCACAATCACAGTTGCCAACAGGATCTGGGCTTCAAAAATGCAAAATGCTGCACTGTACTCTAGAATGTTAAACTGCTGCAAGCTGCAAGCACACAAAACATCAAGGTTTTTACCTTAACCTATCTGCCTCTGAGATTACCAATATCAAAAGAAGGTAATAAACATTCCCCTTACAGAGACACCATGAAAATAAATGCATCAATATTTTTGAAGCACTTGGATACTTCAAAGGGGAGAATTATAAGTCCCATGATGACATTAATCATTAGTTTTTGTGAGCAGGGTGGAAGATACTAAATTAAATAAATCATGGGGCTCCATACCAAACAAGGAGAAAACAAAGTATTGAAATGATTCCCATTAAGACACAGATGCTTAAAGGTATTTTAAGCACTGAGAATTAGCTTCTTACGTGAGCATCTATTGTTTTTTATTTACTTTTATTTTAACTGAACTAAACAGGAGATCTGCAAGAAAAATTGCCAGCAATTATGTTATTATAGGTTGTAGCATAATGCACTATTCAATAAAGTTTGCATCAGAATATATGTGCACCAGATCTAGGACACAAATTGACATTGCCCAAGCAATCTTAGTTTCAGCATTTACCAATGTCACATCGCTTGACTTTGCAAAACATGCCATTTTTTCTCAATAATTAGTGTACAAATAATTTTCTCTGGTTTTAGGATAATACCCAAAGTCATCCACATTCCTTCATGTGCTCACATCTGTAGGAGACAGGGGATGGGAACCCTTCTCTTGCTTCATCCCTCCCTATACGGGGTACATAGCTCTGGCAGCAGAGTAAATGACACAAATAATTGGTTGTCATCTTTTTTGAATCAGCATAGGAGGGACAGAACATTTCGCCAGTAAGTTTCACCAATGTTTGCTGACATCAAAACAACAGTAGAAATCAGGCATTGTTAGTTCAATCAGGATCATAAGAGAGCACACTGAAATAAGCACAGGCTTTTGTAGCTGCTCCTCAGGCAGCTTCACCCCTTTTACCACTTTCAACTCATTCTTCTTTCTTTTGGTTTATCTTACCTCACATCCAGCTTTGACAACACTCAACTGACCCTCCTGAGCTGAAAAATCCCTTGCAGCATTTTGATAAAGCACTGCATGTCCAGATCCAACCCCATAGCCAATCCTGTTTCAAGAGCAGGAGAAACTAGAGACCTCCTGATCTTTTTCAAATTGAATTTTCATATGATCCTATGAAGACACCATGCTTTTCTCCAGTATTTAAATAGTCTTCATTCCAATAGGTAAGTTTATTAATCAAACTTTGTACCAAGTAGCTTTGGTTAATACATTGTCATAATTCCACCTCTACGGTACAAGATTCCTTTAGACAAAAAAGGCAATGAAGCATGCATCCCATAAAACAATAAAATACAGCTAAGGTTGTTGTTATGGAATGAAGTTGCTGCAAATTCCACATAAACCAGGAATTTATGCCAGGAGTTCTTCAAAGTACTGGGGCTGGCCTTCCAACAATGTGAAAATGTTAACACCGGGGCTAAGGGAGCTTGATTTTTTTTCCTTCCCTTGTGTAAATATGATAGTATTTCTCTGTGTCCTGGTTTGAAACCCTCTTGAGCTGCAGTGGGTGCCAATAGACAGGATGTTTGTTCTGCAGCAGGAGGCTTGTTCTGCAACAGGGCACTCAAACTGCTCCTGTCACAGGAGGTCATAGTCACCTTCTCTGTTCCTCCACTGCAAACTGTTGATGACCCAGGTCATAATGGTGCACAAATTTTCTAATATAACTCAGTGAAGGTGGATAAAATAAACAATAACACATTTCTTCTTGAATATAGCTTATCTTTTAAACTGTATCTTTTTGTATTTCTGTGAAGGATTACCCCACTCCTGGTTCTTCTCTCTCATGTCAAGAAGGCACTGCTGGAGAAACCTTCCTTGACCACAAAATGTAGTTCCTCACGAAGCCTTGCTCAGGAGACAGAGTTTTGTTGCTTAACTTCAGCATTTATTCCTATGTAGGGTCTACCACCCATCTGAAATATTCCTTTAAAACAATTTTCATTTCCTCATTTAAACCAAAAAACAGTTTTCACGGGAGTATGTGAAGGCATTTCTCTTTTTTGAAAGATTTTTTTCCCATAACGTTTTCCTTCAGTAGTACTTATTCATCAAAAATTTATTTCTTAGCTCCTAGAAATGTGTTTTCTTTCCTCTTTTGTCTGCAACCTTCTTCTACTCAGAAACAGTCTCTTGAGGATCACTGTTTCAAGGGCAGAACTTCTACTATGCAAAATATGTAACCCTCAGGAAAATGCTACCTTTGAAATTTTTCTGTTCCAAACAAAAACTCAGGATGTAGAAGCAGCCCAGAAAAGGTGTTTGGGATGAAAATGTATGATCAGTTTGAGTAAGGGCTGTAACCTCTCATTACATGCTTTTCATTGTACTATATGACTTTATTCTCTTTCTACAGATGTACTACACCTACTTGCTTCTCTCTAATGGTTCTCTTCGTTCCCATTTCTCCCCAGTTTTCAATCCTTTGCTTTCTTCAGAACTTGCACTTGAGACCTCCATTCCTAAAATTCTCTTCCCCTCAACATTTTGATCGAAGCCAGGATGAGGCCTTTTCCCCTTAGTGGGAAAAGACAGTGAGTGGTAGCCGGGAGTTTCTAGAAGACCTGTCACAAATGATCACATTGCAGAAGAAATGTAGGTATGTTAGGAAGGAGGCAATTGGGCTAATCATGAGCTCACAAAAAAACAAGCACAGAGAAAGTAGATCTTTCCATAGGATGAGTGCAGAAATGTGGCTTGGTAAGAATGGGTAAGAACAAACACAAAAAAAGCCAATACAACAAATAAAACTTAACTAGAAAGAGCATCCCAAGTAGTGAGAAACCATTTGATAAGTACATCAGTGGTAAGAGGAAGTCAAAAGCAAGTGGATTACTCATCAGAGAGAGAAAGATATTGACTGATGCCAGAGAGGGCTCAGACTGCCTCAGGTTTTCTTTGCACCAGCTAAAAGAGGTCACATTTGATCAGGTGACTGATGTGATACACATTAATGACAAGGGAATAAGGTTTCAGCCCAGGCTGGGGCAGAACAAGAATACTTAGGTAACATCAAGATGTTCAAAGCAACAGTCTGGCTGCACTTTATGCCAGGGTAGTGAAGGAAGTGGCTCAAACAGCATTGGAAACACTCATGTTTATCTCGGAGAATCCAGGGAATAAATAAGGGCAAGAAATAAGCAAACTGATGCTGTCTTTAAAAGTAGCATTTGAAAATAAATAAATAAGCCAGTTTTTCACCCAAGAAAGCATCTAGCACAAATAGACACACGATTTGTAGACAGGTAGAAGGAAACAATAGGGTAAGCAACTATTAATATGAACTTGTCAACTAGAAACTGGGACAATATGGGCAAATTTCCCTTAGCAATGGGGAGCAGAGAATGTTATGGAAGAGGGGATAGTGGACTCCACTCATCTGTGCCTTGATTAGCCTCTATGCACATGCTTATGAGGAAGGGAGTTCAGCTAATCTGAAAAATTTAGGCAGGGGGTACAGAAGTTTGGAAACAGCAGTTGTCAGTGTTTTACAAGCAAGAGGGTGGATTACAAATGCAGTTCCAAAGGGGGTGTTTCGTTAGCAGCCTTCAGAGATGGCACTAACTGGGGAGCAACTGTAAACACATTGGAGGATGACATAAGAATTCAAAATAACCCAAAGAATTTACTGGGAAAGCAAAGAACATGACTGAGAAGCACTGTGATGAATTGTTTTTGCAGGCAGGGTTACCCTCTGCACACTCAGAGGCTGGGGCACTGCTCAGCACGGGCTGCAGACAGCAGCTGAGGAGAGAGCAGAGAGCTGCAGGCAGTCCGTGGCCAAAGAGACTGCAGCAGAGGCAGACAAATTGCAGCTGGTCATCTTAAAGAAAACATGGCACAGGGACGTGATAGCAGCCATCAGATGTAAAAGGACACTGCAACACAGAAAGAGAAGACTTCCCTTGGCAGGGACCACCACCTTCACATTTCAGCAAGGAATATTCAGAGAGGAGGATAAAGTGTCACCTGGAGAGGCTGTAGGGCCTCTGAAGTATTGAGTGTTCCTCATAGCAGAATCCAGGGAAGCCCCACAAAAGGGACACAGAGACAGACTGAAGTGGTGTAGATGTGAAACCTTTCTGGTGTCCTCTGTAAGACAAAGGGCTAAAGGGAGGGAAATCTAAGGCATTAATGGTGTACAATAATTTGCTAGTAGAGAAGAGATCAAGTACATGAAATTCCATCAACAACTTGCTCTTCCATTTATATTTGGCAATGACACCCATCCTCTTCTAATGCACACAAGCCTTTTCTGCTCACTAGCTGTGTTCACGTGTACAAGCGTATATTGATCTGTTTTCTCTCCTTCCCTTCTTACAAAGGAAAAAATAACTGCAGAGTTCAGTAATGCACGGGCTGTGCTCTACGATGAAAATAGTCTGAGGCACTTACACGCTGAAGTAAATTTAGCTTAACATAAAAATAACCTTCACAAATTTGAAATGCCTATTTTACAATTAACGTCAGGTGCTAACAGGATATAATTTTCTTCCAAGTGTGTGCTGATGTGACAGGCTGACTGAAGCGATGCAGGCACCTCTCCTCGCCGCCCTCTGGGTCTCAGAGATGCCCCCTTCACCTTTCGGCTCTTCCCTCCGAGTCTCGTCCTTTCCTCAGCCACACAGGGTGCTCCTGCGGCTCGGCGATGCGGTGCGCTCCCGCCCAGCCCGCTGCAGCCGCGCCGCGCTGTTAAAGGCGCACCCACCGTGTAAATAATTGATACGGAGCGGGCGCGCTGCGGAGCCCGAGCGCCTCCTCCTCCCGTTCCCCAGCCCTGCGCTGCCCGCCCCGCGGCCCTACCTGCCCCGGCCGCCGGAGCGCGGCGCGGCCGCGGGGCGGCGCGGAGCCCCCGCCGAGCCCCGCCGAGCCCTCCCCGCCCCGCGGCGCCGTCCCGCCCCCGGCGGCGGCGGGTCCCTGGCGGGGGCCGGGCCGGCGGCGCGGCGGGAGCAGGGGCGGCCGCCCGGCACGGCGGGGGCGGAGCGGGCCCGGCAGGTGGGGGCTGCCGGGGGGCGGAGGGCGAGCAGCCGGCAGGGTTCGTCCGCCCGCCTCCGGAGGCGCGGCCGGCGGCACGGCGCGGAGAGCGGGCTGCCGCGGGAGGCGCACGGCCGTGGCGGCGGCGGTGACTGCGTCCGCAGCCCGGGCCGCGGAGGGGCCGGCGGGGTCCCTTGCTGCAGAGCCAGATGTACGGGACGCGGGGCTGCCAAGGGTCGGCGGGGAGGTGCTGGGGGCTGCCGCCGCCGCTGCTGCCGCGGCCGGGGGGGAGCCCTTAGCTGTGCGGGAAGCGGGGAAGCCGCGTCGGGAGCTGTTATTTTCCCCTCCTTCCTTTGCCTTCCCTCTTGTCCCTCCTCCCCCTCCTCACCAAAACCGGGAGAGGAGGCGTGTTCGGTGCCTTGCTGCACCGGTTTTGCTTGGTTTGTTGTTGCAGGGCTTGGTTCTCAGGGCGGCTGGGTTTTTTCTTTTTTTCTCTTGCAACCTCCCCGCCTTCTCCCTTCCTCTCCTTTGGCCCATCGCATGCTCGGATCCGGCTGGATCCTTCCTTCGCTTTTCGGCGGTGCCTCTCGGAGGGGGGAAGGGAGAGCTGGGATGAGTGCAGCTTGACGCACAGGCGAGGAGCGGGGGGGCACCGCCGGCAGCTGCAGCGGTTCGTGGCCGCAGGCTGCGGGCGAGGAACGGAGAGAGCGAGGGGCTCCCTCGGTGCCTCCCCCTTTCTTCGCCCCTGTCCTTCCTCCCCTCCTCCCTCTCTCCCTCCCCCATCCGTCTCCTGCCGGTCCGGCTGGGAGCGTGTGTGCAATACCTTACGCTGCAAGGTGCGCGAGTGTGTGCGCGGAGCGGAGGGAGGGAAGGACTCGCGAGGGAGCCGGGGCTGCCCCGGCCCCCCCTATGTGAGCCTCCCCGGGCGGCTGCATGGCGATAGAGCGGCGCCGTGAGGGGGGCGGCGGGGGCCGGCCGCTGCCCGAGGAGAACGGCTCCGTGCCGGGGGCCGTGGGGGGGGGCGCCGCCGCCCCCCCGGGGCCTCCCCCCGCCAACGCCGCCGGGGCCGAGATCCAGGCGCTGCCGGTGCCGCCGCCCGCCGCCGCCTGCAGCCCACTGCTCCTCGACTACGACGGCTCGGTGCTACCCTTCCTCGGGGGGCTGAGCGGCCGCTACCAGCGGACCCTGGTGCTGCTCACCTGGGTCCCGGCGCTCGTCATCGGCTTCAGCAAGTTCTCGGACTCCTTCCTCCTGGACCAGCCCGACTTCTGGTGCCGGGAGGCGGACGGGCAGGGTAACTGGAGCGGGACCCTGGCGCCGATCCACGCCAACCACAGCGGCAACGGGAGCATCTTCACCCCGCCCGGGCTGCCCACCCCCGCGGGGGGCAACGCCAGCGAGTGCGGCTGCCGCGAGTGGCACTACCGCATCCGAGCCGGCCTCGTCCAAAACGTCGTGAGCAAGGTGAGAAAGGCGACTTCCCTCGGCCCCCCTCCCTGTCCAGCCCTCGCTGACCCTCTCGGCTCTTTCCAAGGCGAGGGGAGCAGCTGGGCACGATGCGGATCTGTCCTTGCATGCTGTAGTTGGGTCAGTCAAGTCTCCGTGGGCGAGCCTCCCCAGGAGGAGGAGAAAACCAGTCCCGCACCCGCGCAGCCCTTTCCCTGCCGGGGTGTCGCACCAGGTGTCCAGCCTGTGGATTTGTACCCGCACACTGGTTGCAGCGCTAAGCTGCAAAGTTATGTCCTGAAACGGGATCCTGTGTGTCTCTTTGAGCTCCTGCTACTGTCCTACTGTCTCTCGGTGTCTGTGGGAAAGATGCTGGAGGCAAGTGCCCCAGCTGATAAGGGGAAAGGGTTGCGGAGAGGGCTCCGGTTGATCTTTGTGCAAGTATACAGAAGCAGCCCTACATGCCAAAAACCAGGTTGATTTTCTGGGGGGAACTGAAGAAATGGTGACTGTTGTGTGTAAAATAAGTCAAAAGTTCTCTTGAATTTTTCTGGTTATGTACTTATTCTCTTGAAAACTGTCTTGGCAGAGGAATTGAAGAAATGTCTCACACGGGTTGTTTTACTCCAGAAGCAGAAAGTGCATGCTGCTGTGTTTTGTGTTTCCCCATGTAATGACTAAAGTGGAAAATTTCTAGTGAAGAGACTCTGCCGCTTTCTGCTCTTGCTTTGTATTTGCTGAGTAGTGCATATCAAAAAATCACCTTCCCTTTTCACCTGAAAGCCTTTGCTTGTTTGTAGTATCAGCCCTGCAAAAGCCCCGCTGGCTGCAGATGGGCCTTATTGATACTAACAGGCAGCTGGAGCTCCTGGAAATGTAAAATGAAATGGTTACACCGGGGAAGAAGTTCCCTTAATCTCGAGACCCCCTCTCCTAAGATCAGCAAAAATTACTTCCTGCCTGGGAGCAGTGTTTTAGCTTAACTGTGTTTATCTAGTTGGGATAAAGAAATGGGGCAACAGTCAGATGAGCAATATAATTGTGCTTTGGTCAGCCAGCACGCACTTATATTGAATCATTGAAAATCATTTCGGTTTCTCTTTGTGTCCCTTGAAAGAGTGTGCAACAGGGGAAAAGCAAATCCCTCAATATCTTGAACCCAGAATGGATAAAAAAGGAAGGTAGCCCAGCTACATTCCTTTCATGAGAGAAACATAGGCACATGTTGGATCTGATTGGGTTGTGACATAGAAATGCATAAGAAAATTAGGCATTTAAGAAGGTCAGATTTTCTTCTGTTTATATACGGAGACCCAGCCATTCATATATTTGAGGGCTTAACACTGAAATTTTAGCATGAAAAAATTATCCTGAAATATTTTTTTTAGTCTAAACTTATAAAAAAATTTTTTGGAAATGTTTGAATCTTTTGAAGGTCATCGTCAAGTTGGCCACAAAAGGTCAAGTGAGAGTTAGTTTGCTGTCTTGCATGCTTCTTTAGAGATAATAAAAAAAGTGTTCTTTGGAAGAACTTGCTGTAAAGGGCAGATCAATTTTAAGGGATAAACAAACATCTGTGGCCCCTGCTGTCTTGTTTTCTATTAGAAAGAATAATAATCATCTTTTGAGACTATGGGTTTTTCCAGTGTGGAGTTTTTATTTTTTTTGTATGCTCACTTCCAAAAGCCTGGCAGCTTTTTGCTTTGATTTGTAATCCCATGTAATTATAATTAGATTGTTTTCTTGAGGTCAGGATTCCTCTTTAGTTTGTGCTTTGTTTTTGTTTTGGGGGTTTTCTGGGTGGGAGTGCTGCCTGTTTTTATTCTAATGGAGAAAGAGAGGAAAAACCCAGACAGAACATCATCACAGCTTGATTTGGACTTCATTTCTTATCAATCCCCAGGAGCTCTGATACTGTGGGAGCAATTCTTGTAACTGCTGACTCCTCTTACATGCATCTCACTGTCCTTTGTGAGAAAGAGCTGCTCTGGATGAATTCAAGAGACTGGATGTTCAGATCACCCTTAACTCTCCTCAAAAATACATTTATTTCTGTAATGTATTATGCAATGTTCTCATCTTTCTAAATAGAGTTTTATTAAATCTTAGTCTAATATATGCTCATCTGTGTAGTAGCCAGGGGTTATATTGAAATATCATAAAGAGAGCCAAAAGTATATTAATAAAAAATGTACTTTTGTTTGGCAAGTAAATCCTCTTGTACTTACCTTCAGTGGTCTGAGCTAACAGCTGCTGGATGCTCCATTATTGCCTTGTATTCGGAAACAATGAAACAATGCTGGTTCTTTAGCACAAAGCACATTTGATGTACATACATCTGAGACATCACTGCTCCCCCTATTCCTCAGGGGTTGGATAGCTGTCCTTAAACTGTGTTAAGTTCCACTGTCTCCACAGCCTCTCTTCTAATGGTACACCCTTCATCAGATGCTGTATCCCCGTCCAGGCTTTCTCAGCTCTCCCTTCCCTGGTGCCTATTTTCCCCCATGCTATGTCATGCTTGGGAGTGCTTGATGAAGTGGAGGTCTTGCTATTTCCAGCCCTGCTCAGTGCTTTGTTTAGCCCCCTTTCTCTGAGTGTTTGCTGGAGCCAGCATTGGCCTTGCACCTTTCTTGAAGACTGGCATTGCTGTGTCAGACACTGTCATTATCCTGACCTGCTTGACTGAGTCACTGGGAGCGGTGCTTTTTATAGTGCTGCCAGTCATTAGAACTGGAAATGGTAATAAAGGACACAGTGCTTATTATTTAACACTGCTGAGATACATGTAGTGAAGAGGTCAGATGCATAATTTAACCACAGGGATTCCAGTGGCCATGTTAAATCACCCTTCTGAGCTAATGTCCTGACTTGGCACATAAATCTTGGTCTTTAGCTTGGATTGTACATAAATATCTTCCCTTAGCACAATTCACTTGCAAGGCTTTTTCACTGCTAAGTGATTCCTTGAAGATTTTCATCTATTCCTTATCACAACATCAACATCATCATGCTGTTATATACAGAGTACACATGTATTTCTTGAGAGGTACACCCTAATCCAGCCCTTAGTCAAAAGGCTGGAAAAAAGCCTTTTTAATGGTCCATGGTCCATGTATCATCCCACCTGTGTCCAAAGGAAGGACACTGAGAAACACTCTCTAAATTTTTTTTTTTTTTTTTTTTTTTTTTTTTTTTTTTTTTTTTTTTGTGGGGAAGCCTGAGATCTCCTTTTAGGCATTTGCCAAGTGGTGCTTCAAGTAAATTATTAGCATTAACAGTGAGCAACATTGTAATAACTAAATGTATGTAGTCATGAAGCTTAGCAGGGAAGCTGGAGTGTGTGTTCAGCAGGGACTTTTCTTACTCTCTCACCAGC